TTGACAAATCTGACAATAAAATAACTCTATGAATTTGCGTCTTAGAAGGAGTTACAAGTTCACTGACCCGAAATAACCCAAAATATGCCAATGTAAACAGTGCTTGAAATAATTTAACCTCAAAGTCATTGTAACAAATGCGAGGTAAAAGTGAGCAAATGACTTTCAAAGTCGATTTAGTTATAGGTGCACGATTATCACGTGAAATCCTACATCTACGACAACCTTCTAACAATTTAGATACGACAAAAACGTCATATATATTATAAAATCCTTGCAGTTTGTGAAAATAGTTCAAACCCGCAACATAAGTAGAGATTGTAGCTGCTGATTTTCCCTTTTCAAAAGAGTAAGCAATAAATAGAACCACATGTTGGCTTGGTATTGGCCAAAGGGGAGGTAATTGATAAGCAGACCGAAATTTCATAAAAACATTCAGCGCTGTGTTATACGTGGAATTAGTATTCGGTGCTAAGCTGGATTGTAATAATGCTCGAGCTCTAGATTGCAAATGTTCCAGAGGAATTCTGGTACTGGTTGAGAATGCAGGTCTGCTTCCGGTGCTAATTCTCTGAACCGGGTTAGCTGAAAACGAGACAGTGCATCACAAATTTCATTATTACGGCCAAAAATATGGGTAGCTTTAATCAAAATATTTAATTTTAAACAATGTAAAGTTAAGAAACGAATTAAGCACATCACTGTTTCTGATTTTGATGACAGTGTGTTTAAGATACTGACTACTGCTATATTGTCGCAACAAAATTTTATTTTTTTTGTTTACTAATTCCTTACCCCAAATGAACACTGCGACTGCTATAGGAAATAACTCTAAAAATGTTATGTCCTTTGTAAGACCGTTTTTGTGCCAAAAATCGGGCCATTTTCCTTGGCACCAATGCCCTTGATAAAACACACCAAAACCTAAGCCTTCACCGCCTGCGCTATCCGAAAATAATTGTACATCCTCATTTGAAACCCAAAAAGCATCATGAAAAACCGAAATGCCATTAAAATTTTGTAAGAATAAAAGCCACATTTCTAAATCCCTACGTATTTCTTTTTTAATTCTAATATGATAGTGAGGCTTCGATAAACCACAAATTGAGTTTATAAGGCGTCGAGAAAAAGGCCGTCCTATAACTATAGCCCTGCAACAAAAATTTAAGGAACCGATTAAAGACTGTACTTTTTTTAAAGTTGATTTTTGATGAGACAATATGTCCTTAATTTTTATAACTACTTCCTGGATTTTTTCCAACGGAATTTTCACAGTCATTTTGTTTGAATCTAGTTCTAACCCAAGGAATACAAGTACTTCTACTGGGCCTTGTGTCTTTTCTTCTGCTAAGGGGACACCTAATTCCGACATTGTATTCTTGAAAATGTCTAAACCATAAGAACAACTTTCTAAAGTTTTATCACCCCCTAAAAAATCGTCTAAATAATGAATAAGTTTTGTTGATTGTAATTTTAATTTTGCGCAAAATTCGAGAAATCTAGAAAACCGTTCGAACGTTATACAACTGATAGACGCCCCAAAAGGTAGTGCCTTGTCAAAATAAAACTGGTTGTTAAAACAGAAACCTAATAATTCGAAATCTGATGGATTGATTGGTATCAAACGGTAAGCGCTTTTAATATCGCATTTAAAAAGCTTACAATGGCGTCCTAAGGATTGAACCATGCTTACTGCTTCGTCAAAGCTTGTATATTGAACTGTGCATAAAGCCGGGTCAATAAAATCATTTACCGATTCACCTGGTGGAAATGACAAGTGGTGAATCATTCTGAATTCGCCCGGGGTTTTCTTCGGCACTAAACCTATAGGAGACACAATTAAATTAGGCAGAGGACGTTTTGAAAATGGGCCGGCAACACGACCGGCGTTAACTTCTTTCTCAATTTGACGTGAAATTAGTTCTGGATTAAGAGTCGTCGATCTTAAATTTTTAGCATCCCTTGGTGAACGAGGCCCAGTATACTGAATAGAGAAACCATTTAAAAATCCTTCAAGTAGAAATTCTGCTTCCACCTTATCATAAAATTGTAAATAGTGTTTTAATCGAGTAATTTTGATAGGTGATTTCGCTATAGAATGAAGACCGCCCTGACCATTATTTAAATTTTGTTTGCCTTTACTTCCTAAATTGTCCCCTAGAACGGGCTCGTCCCCTAACAAAGGGCTGTCCCCCTTTTGTCCGAAATGATGAATCAGCCGAAGTGGAGGGCTGATCTACCGGTTTAGACTGTAAACCTTTATAACAGTTAATAGCCGAATGTGGCGCTGAGCATGTCGCACAAGTATGCGAAAATTTACAGTTAGGCCACGTGCAACTTCCGGCATTGAAATCGTTACACGTGTACCTATATGAATTTATAGTAGTACGAAGGCTTGGTTTGACCTGAACACAACGCCACCACAAGTCATTATTTATTTTGCACCATGGAGAAGGCGTAATTGCCTGTCGGAGGCGAAACTGTTCGTCATAGGCTTGCCAAGCTAAGCCACCCTGTCGAACCGCGCAATCTCTAATATTGAACATGTAGTGCAATATTTCGTAAACTTTATCAGCGTGAGTGGACAGGTAGATAGATGCGTAAATAATAAAAGCATTGGTCCATTTCTCAATGCTACTTATTTGGTCTTTACACTCCCTTTGTGCAGATTCGAGGTGGCCATCGCTACTTAAACGAAATACCGACCCCTTGCAAAACTCGGACAATTCAACAGACCCCTTTAATAGTAAAGCTAAATTGATATATTCACCCTTACAGATTTTCTGCTTAAGGGTCGCGGGCACATGAGCTGATAAATCGTCATCAGCCAGTCTAATTCCAGCCATAACAGGCAAGTCATTCATAACAACAGAAGTTGGATTATTACTGCGATTATCTAAATGTGAAGAAATAGTACTATTAGGTAAAGTCACGCCGCCACACCCAACAATTTGAGAATTACTGTTCGAATTTTCAGGCAAAATATTAGAAGCTTGAATGATATGTTCAAAATCAATAATCGGCGACTTACCAGCGTCTGATTGATTCACCCGTGGATCCACACAATCCTCCAGAACGTCAGCACCCCTCTTGTTACCACGGCTATTGCTGGTAAGAACCTGGTTCGAGGACTGACGTGTCCGAACTCCTGGCCGACTTGTGGATTCTGTTCTTTTGCGACCTCGTGGCATTTTGCTGAGTTTCACATAAACGTTTAAGCATATAGCGAATACGGCTGTTGAAAGCAAGTGAGAGGAATGCACGAGGTTCCCGAGTCTTATATAGCCGTGAGAAAGTGGCGGGAATTTTAGCAATCAGTCAAGTAGAACAATATCGTACTACCTAATGTGTTAAACACGTTTATTTCCTAATTCGCTACGCTCAAACGTAAATAAATTATTTATCCCATAATAAAGGCAATCGAAGGAAGAAAGAACAACAAATACATAAATTCACATTTATGATCTGCATTGCCGTATATCTACATTACTAATACATGTTCTTAGAAACAGCATACATGACATTAACATCTCAACGTTTCATAAATCTATGTAATCTAATCTAAAAGGACTTTCTTTACAATAATCTCATATCTTTATTATGAACATTAACATGGAAAACACACAGTTATGAACAAACTTTCCCTGTCAGTAATGCTGCGAGTCGGCTGCGCAACCCTACTCAATCGTGGGAGGGGGACGTAGTAGGAAACCAAATCTCAAGACCAGCCACCCTCCGTAAGTGCTCTGACATAATTTAATGAGAAAATCCATAAAAACAACCCACTTACTATGTAAAATGTAATTAAAAGCCGAATATGTACACTCATTAACTGCACGCTTTCCACCTATAAGTTCAGAACATTTACAAAAACGTATAAAATATGGAATCTCTTCTTATATACAGACTATAAAAATTGAAATCATAAAAGTTCGAGGTATCGTATTTCACTAACTAAAGAGTTCTCCAAAATAACGAACATCCTGGGAAAGTAGTACATCTTGTTCTTGTAACAAAATCTGAAAAACATAAACTTAAGTAATTAACAATATTTTTAGTTAAATTCAAATCGTTACCAAAACGTAAAAAAACTTGACTGAATTAATCTAAAAATGCATCTTTATAATACCATACTTCATTTACCATTAATACATTTATGTATTTATAAATCAATTATAAACCTTGCAAAATTATTCTGTAGTTGTAAGAATATGCTTGTCCTTTTTAATTAGCGTGTCGATTTAAACTATTAAAACGATTTATCAAGACTAAAAATGGACCAAGAAAAATCATTGTTACTGTACAGATTAACGATGACTGCGTGAACTTTTCGGGAGGGTGGAAGGGTATCAGTGCACGATAGAGTAAAATAAACGTGTGTAGCAATGCAGAAAACCTCGAATGATATACACATCTATCCGACTTTATTATATATTACTGACGCACGAGAAAATCGTGCGTATCATATTCAATGAATTTCAATACAGTAAAACTTCGATTACCTTAACCTAGGATAAATATATTTAACAAATACCCCTTGCTAGCAGACGATTTCAATAAAAAATAACCCAAATTATTTAAATGCTGAAAATAATTTTATTTATAGTGTAATTTACGGGTATGGCAAATCAAGATTTTGGCAATAATCTAAATTTGGGGAAAAGTGATTTTGTTGTACATGTTCATTTTTTCATGTGATTGTTAAGCTGCCTATGATTTTATAGCTATATGCAAGGTGTGAATTATATTTACTTTATTGGACATTAAAAAAAAACTTGAAAGTGATTAATAAAAGTTGCAAAGACTAGTTATGCAATCGAGCTTAAATAAATATGTTTAAACCATAAACTGGCAAAATCCTTGTATTAAAATAGATTAAATTTTAGCGAATTTATTTTTTCGTGGTATTCAGTGCATGTAAATTAAGCAAAAATTAAATACTTGCGAAAAAACCGTGATTGTGTTCTTGTGTTACTGTAGATTATTTAGAAGAGAAAGCCATGGAATATGTTAATTCGGATGTTGTGAACACGTTTGGTAATCTTCTAAGTAGATGTACAGCATCGGCTATAAATCGTGATCAGATTTACCCCAGAAAAGACCAGGATACCTACATCAGTTCAATAACTGCGGCAGATAGAGAAACTTTTGAGAACATCGAAATACTTATTGGTAAATAATTATATTGCTTAACAAAGGCTGTCATTGATAATGGTGATATTGATATATCGATCATTGATTGACAATTGTCTGAAAATTGATTGGCTGAATAAAGTGAAAACAATTTCTACCTTTTGCAAATCTTCCTTCATTTCTCAAGAGATTTTAAGCAGAATTGTTGTACCCTGGCACATATTGTTGGGGTTTTGTGATTTGAGTATCTGTGGCAGAATTATGGCCATTTGTTTTATTCACATCAGTAAACCTGGTTTTGTGACATTTTTCTGTCACTTTTTCTGCTTCAATATTTACTCTTATTACAGAAAAAAAAACTGACTACATCTCTGCAATGCTAGTAATGAATATTGGAAAAAAATTATACATGTACTTTATATAAGTACAATAAGGGTTGTAAGAGTACTAACACAACAGCATAGAATGAAGTAGGATGGAAAATGTTATTCTGATTTCTCATGGTTCAGAACTGTTCACTATTTAGGGGAGACTGTGCGTGTAAGCAGCCAGATAGATCTGTCGGTATAGCCATGGAACAGTATTCCGAAGGTCCCAGGTTCAAGACTCCCTGCACATTTTTCTCATCCTGTGACAGATTAATCATTTTTAAGCTCATATGTCACAAAGTGACAGGGTGAGCTTTTGTGATCGCTTTTCGTCCGTCGTCCGTCCGTCCGTAAACTTTTACTTTAAATGACATCTCCTCATAAACCACTAAGCCAATTTCATCCAAACTTCACAGGAATGTTCCTTTGGTAGTCACCTTTAAAAACTGTTCAAAGAATTTAATTCCATGCATAAATTAAAAAAATCTTCTTTTAAAGAACCCAAAGAGCTAGAGCTAAGATATTTAGCATGAAACATCTTCTAATGGGTTTCTACCAAGTTTGTTCAAATAAAAGTCCTGGGGTCAAAATTGGCCCCGCCCCGGGGGTCATTGATTTTCCTTATATGTGTATAGCAAAAACTTAAAATCAAAGCACAGAAGGCGCTGAATTTGTTTGGGTCTTAGAATGTCAGAAAGGTGAAGGTTGTGAGATTATAAACCAATTTGTTTTTGTATAGTGTCACCAATGCTTTCCAGTGTTTTAACTAGCAAATTGGCTATAAGACTAATTGCAACTCAATTCAATGTTTATTTGACTTAAAAATTAAAAAAAAATTAGTTGCCTCAATTTTGATTTGAACTCCAGACCTCTCGATTTAGAAGGGAGCGTGCAAAGCCATAGGCCACACTGAACTTACATGTAAACGGCCTGAAGAAAACCATATTATTCTTAATTAGGGTTTGTAACTCTTATTATTTCAACGCTAAACCTGTTGTTTAACACATATGTAAATAATCATAGAGCTTATTGTAAGCATGTATATCTATAAAGAATGAAACAATATTAGAAATCTTCGACCATTCGGGAACTACTTTGCTTGAGAATTAATGCGCCTGTCATTTGACAATCTTTACGCATTGATCTCCCCTGAATTTTGCGGGGTTGGTGTACATATAAAGGGAAGTAACTGCTTCAAAAAAGTGGACTACTTTAGGCATTTGCAATTAACAGCATTAGGCTCTGAAATTTCGCTACAATTATTTGTTTGGTCTGACGACCCAAACAAATAAAAATCTTCTTTGAAAAAACCCAAATAGCTAGAGTTTAGATATTAAGCATGAAACATCTTCTAGTGAGTGTCTACAAACTTTGTTCAAATAAAAGCCCTGGGGTCAAAATTGGCCCCGCCCGGGGGTCATTGATTTTCCTTATATGTGTATAGCAAAAACTTAAAAAATCTTCTTTGAAAAACCCAAATAGCTAGAGTTTAAATGTTAGGCATGAAACATCTTCTAGTGAGTGTCTACAAAGTTTGTTCGAATAAAAGCCCTGGGGTCAAAACTGGACACGCCCCAGGGATGTCAATGTTTTTAACTACATTGTATATGTGTATAGTAAAAACTTAAAAAATCTTCTTTGAAAAAACCCAATGAGCTAGAGCTTAGATGTTTAGCATGAAACATCTTCTTATTGGTGTCTACCAAGTTTCTTTAAATAAAAGCCCTTGGGTTAAAATTGGCCCCGGGGGGGGGGGGGCTATATACAGGTGAGCGACCTCAGGGCCATCATGGCCCTCTTGTTTCCTAAATAATTATATGTATATTGACTTCAATCACTTTTCTTAATTGAAACACTCATAGTGTAATTCTCATATTTAGCTAAGTAATCTAAGGATTGTTAGGCATATGAGTTAAGACCCCGTCAGGGGCAAGCCGATAGTTTCTTGAGCAAGAAACTTGACACTCATTGCTCAGTACTGGTTGGTTCCAGGAACAGATTCAAAGGTCTATAAGCTTATAGCACCCAACTCAATCAAACTTAAATAAATTCTGTATCAGCCAGTATATATGTACAGCCAGGCAACTTTTTTTTTAACAGAGTGGCAAAACGACACGGGTATGTGATGTCTAAATTTCTTTTCTATTTTACAGACACAGTGGAGGGATATTATCAGGATATGATGATGTACAAGGCTATAGAGAGCATCATGTCGTATCTAAGATGGGCGAACGGTCTAGTTGAGAACCACAAGATTTGGGATCTTGCCAAATCGGACCAAGAAGCAGACGTTCTTCACCTCAAATGTGTCCTTCACCTTGCATTAGACACTTTGAGAGTGAGTGGAATCTTGCTACAGCCTGTGATACCAAACATATCTGAACGCTTGCTGAATAGGCTCGGAATTCCTAAGGATAGGCGAACATTTGAATGTGCAAGGAAACCATATTTGAACTCTCCAGAGCTACCTTTAGGACCAAATGAAGGTGTTCTGTTAAAAAGATTGAAAATAAATTAGTAGATATAATTATTCGGAGTGTATTTTTTAATTGTATATTTTTTACATTATATACTCAAAGTATTGAATACATGTACATTTTATGCTCAGATGAGCAAAAAAATAAATATATGTATTAGCACTGATAATCACTATAAGCTTTTTTGTCCCATGTCAAATACATTATACTGCTAGAAAACGTGTAAAAATAATTATCATTTTATCAATATCATCATGACATATATCGCACTAAGTATACTGTACACACAAGTATGTTGGAGGATATGTCATTTAAAGTCAATGAGCATTTAATTTATCTTTTAGCAATATGGGTGTTAAAGGCTGTGCACTAGCAATTACAGGGATGTTAATCTCAATGAGGTGCTGAGCAGAACTGAGGTTTGGTCTTCTTTAGATCAAGGACGTATGAGTTATTCAAAATCCTTATTCTAATAAGGGAGACTACTTTGTCAAGATCACTAGCCCATACTGTAGAATATTATTTTACCAACTGTCAGTGACCAGAGGCCAGCTGTCCAAGCCTATTTGAGTTTTTTTGTGTTTCTGCTTTTGTTGTTTACACTTAAAGACATTTATAATTTAACAGTGTGACCTTGACCTGAAGAAGGTCAAACCTGGGTGCTGTATATAATCTCATAATGGTTAACATTTCTGCTAATGGGCTTCAATTCATTCCATTAGTTTAAGTCACAGGGCAGACTTGAAATTTTACAATAATTCATTATGACTGAAGTGTGACCTTGTTCTGTGGAAGGTAAAACATATGCCCTGCACACATTGTCTCATTATGGTTAACAATTCTATAGTTTCAATTTCCTTCTGTATGTTCCAAAGATACAGACTGGACACAATCTTGCTTACAGATGGACAGACAGACAACCATGAGGTGCATAACAATATTCACAGAAAACTCTTGACCGACTGACATTTCACTAGGTTCATGACATTTATTGTAGTACAGCACTTGATTAAAATTTTTGATACAAAGAAATAGGTCATAGTAATAGCTAATTAATTGCCCTTTGGTACAAAGGAAAGGTTATGAAGTACCTCATTGACCTTTGATACAAAGAAATAGGTCAGTTAATTGACATTTAACATATAAAGCACGTGTACTAAAACATGTCATCTGACGTCATGCTCCACTTTCTTATGTACCAGACAAAATTGCAGGCTAAATAACCCTTACTGATTCAGAGGACAATTTGCCCATCATGGATCTCTTGTTAATTTTTTTTCAGAAACCTTTTAAAAAGATCTTTGATAGAGTTTTTATATTTTTTCATAAACTAAAGCAAGAAAATTCTTTTAAAAGTTCATTTATTAAAACAAATTGCAGGCCATTCCAGTCAATTCAGGATAATTTGGTAGATTCATTTGGTATGCAGTGTAATTATGTTTTTGGTATATACAACATAGTTGTACATGAATGTAAAGTTATTGAAAAATGAGCCGCGTCATTACAAAACCAACACAAGCAAATTCGTTGAATTTATATCCCCGCCGAGTACTGGTTATTATTAACACAACAACTGAAGACATAAGGCTTTATTTATATATTAATCATGGCATAAACAGTAATATTCTTTGAACTTGATAAATATTCAGAGCAATAACAGATCCATAACTTTGTGTTAAATAGTAAAATCTGGAAATGCCAATGAGATGTATGCATTCTACATAACTAATCAAGGGCCATAAATCTGAGTTATAAGTATCTGACTGGAACAAGGCGACTATATGCACATCTCCTCTTAGTATCCCATAAAGTTTCATTGAATTCCAGCCAGTAGTAGCAGAGAAGTAGTGAGGAAACAAATATTTTTCAATATGGATACTGCATAACTAATCAAGGGCCATAACTCTGAGTTAAAGTGTCTGACTGGAACAAGCCGACGATATGTGCATTTCCTCTTGGTATTGAAGGTTCCCATAAAGTTTCGTTAAATTCCAGCCAGTACTTGCAGAGAAGTAGTGCCAAAACGATTTTTACTCTATATGCATACCACATAACTAATCAAGGGCCATAACTCTGAGTTAAAGGGTCTGACCCGAACAAGCTGACGATATGCGCATCTCCTCTTGATATTGATGATTCCCATAAAGTTTTGTTGAATTCCAGCCAGTAGTTGCAGAGAACTACTCCGAAAACGATTTTTACTCCAAATGCATATTGCATAACTAATCAAGGGCCATAACTCTGAGTTAAAGTGTCTGACCCAAACAAGCCGACGATATGCGCATCTCCTCTTGGTATTGAAGGTTCCCATAAAGTTTCATTGAATTACAGCCAGTAGTTGCAGAGAAATAGTGCGGAAACGATTTTTACTCTATATGCATACTGCATAACTAATCAACGGCCATAACTTTGAGTAAAAGTGTCTGACCGGAACAGGCTGACAATATGCGCATTTCCTCTTGATTTTGATGATTCCCATAAAGTTTCGTTGAATTCCAGCCAGTAGTTGCAGAGAACTACTCCGGAAATGATTTTTACTCTATATACATACTAACTAACTAATCAAGGGCCATAACTCTGAGTTAAAGGGTCGGACTGGAACAAGCCGAGGATATGTGCATCTCCTCTTGATATTGATGATTCCCATAAAGTTTTGTTGAATTCCAGCCAGTAGTTGCAGAGAACTACTCCAGAAACGAAATTCGGACGGACGGACGGAAGTTTTCACAGGACAGTAATTATGTGGCTACTCTATTGTTCTCTCTATTGTTCTTTTTAGCCACACAAAAGAAAATAGCCACATAAAAGCATTACGGAAAGAATGACACAAAAGAGAAAGAACAGTTGCCTATTGTCCCTCTAGCCACATAATTACTGTCCTGTGAGTGCGGACGGACAGACGGACAACGCCAAAACTATATCCCCCTCCCGATTCCATCGGCAGGGGATAATAATGGGTTTGCGTCCAGCATGGATCCAGACCAGCCTGCGCATCCATGCAGTCTGATCAGGATCCATGCTGTTTGCTTACAGACCCTATAACAAGTAAAGAAACTGATAGCGAACAGCATGGATCCTGATTAGACTGCGCGGATGCTGTTCAGGATCAATGCTGGTCGCAAACCTATTATGTTGGTTTTGTCATGACGAAGCTCAAATGCTTTTAAAAAATGAATATACACATATTTAAAGTAGATAACAATGTACATTTTAATGAAACATATATGTCTGATATTGGGACATAGCTTAAGATGATGTTTGATGTCCACTAGAGAGAACAACCATTCCAGATTATTATTTTTTGAATATTTTTTTAGTCAAATATTTACAAAATAAAATGCTGTTTAATGGCAGTCACTGTCAATTTCAGCCTTTTAACTTTGATTGTTCACATTTAAGGCACTGTTGATCTTAAAGGAACTCCACTGAGGTCTAAAAGCCTAAAAACATAAAATTTGATTTTCTTTTACATAGATCAGCCTTGGCACTAAAAACGGAAAGACAAACAAAAAACAACAAAGGAATATACTCAAAAAATACATTTGAAAACCGTATTTTTGTGCAATTCCTAGCCAATATGAGTCAAAAGCACTGCTTTACTTTTCAATTTGGGTCATTTTTCACAATCAGAATCATTTTTCTAGAAAAACACAGTGAGCGAATGATCTGAAATTTTGCACAAAAGTTACTGGTTGAGACATGCATCAAATGATACATTACTCTCATTTTCAGTCTTGTCTTGTCAAAAAACCTAAGTCAAGTCCCTTTAAAGTATCAGTTTTTATTGAACCTTTAAACTTACAAAGAAATCAGTTTTCCTCTTTCCAAAGTATGCACTCTAAAAAGAACAAAAGAAGTTAACAGTCTTGTCTTGTCAAAAAACCTAAGTCAAGTCCCTTTAAAGTATCAGTTTTTATTGAACCTTTAAACTTACAAAGAAATCAGTTTTCCTCTTTCCAAAGTATGCACTCTAAAAAGAACAAAAGAAGTTAAAGAAAGGTTACAAATGACATACACTGTATGTGTTAATTATTACACATATTGAAATTCCTCTTATCACCAATATGACGTTTTTAGTGACATTTTACTTCAACAAAAGGACAAAACATGATTAATAAAGTCATATGAAGTTAAAAATATCACATGTATTCAAAATAATTATGATATTTTGTTAACAATGTACCTTCTATTCATTATCACTACAACATACATTTTTCGGTATTTCATGAAGGTCAGCACGTATGCTAAAATTAATATTGCTAGTGAGACAATGACCAGGTTTATATCTTACCCAGCTGGTGGCAATTGAATATAAGTTTGGTCAAGATCTATCCAGTGGTTTAAGGAGAAGAGTTTGTTTAAATTAACAAATATATAACTAGAGCACAAAAGCAATACTAGTATCAAAGCGTACATAACATACATAAGTTAACAAGATGACAAGGTAAATTATTATACTATAGTCTAATAGTATAGTTTAGCAGTGTTCATTACAATTGTGGAAAATCAAATATATAGATTTGATTGATTAGGCAATTTCTTTAATTGTTTTAAATTCATAAGTAAGAAAAACATTTTAATTAATTTAACAGTGTTCATTTTAATTGTTTAAAATGATGACTTAATTCACATTGTTTGCAAGTAATCATATTTATAGCGCAGACTTTAGCAGTATAGAACTAATTTTGTAACCAATATTTCCGAATAAAGTACTAGCAATCAACACACAGCATAATGCAGTATATGTAGCTCTCATACCCACTTTATAAACAGGAAATTCATCTTGTCCTAGGAGGGGATTTTATCCACTTCAAAATTTCACACATGAAGGGGATTATGTCAACCCATGGAGGGCATTATGTCCAGATATACAAAAATACATGAAGGGGATTTTGTCCACAGGGGATTTTGTCTGACATTCATGTGACACTGCCAGTGTAACAGACAGATTAGGGTATGACATTTTAGTTAACTCTACAAAAGTACAATGTGTAAATAGTATGGCACCTGACTGGAAGCTGAGTAAAGATATACTATGCTTATCCCCGAGTAAAATATTGTTATTGCAGAAAATTATTGAAATCTATAAAATTCTGACTGAATATGTCTTATTTGAATATAAGAGAACAATATTTGCACAAACTACATGTATGTACATCTACAATCTGCGTTCATTATTACAGGTCAAGTAAAACTGGCTCTTTTAAAAAAAACTGCAATTTTTTTTTTATAACAAAGTTACAGCCAATAATAGCCAAAATAATGAAATTTCAATAATTTGACCTTCAAAGTCAAGGTCATTTATGAGTGAAGGTCAAGGTCTGTCTGGTTATTTTTAAGGGCTATCCTTGAAGATTATTATGTTCAAGTTTGAAGACAATCCATTCAAAAATAACAAAGTTACAGCCAATAATTATAAAGTAAGAACAAGCAAAATTTGGATTTTCGACATTGAAGGTCAAGGTCATTTATGGATGAAGGTCAAAGTTGGTGTGGTCTACTGAAAGGTCTTGTCCCAAGGATTGTTGTGGCCAAGTATGAAGACAATACACCAAGAAATAAAAAAGTTATGATCCAGGTACAAGTTTGCGGACGGCAACACCGCCAGGACTATCACAATATCTCTTACTTTTTTTTTCAAAAAAAAAAAAAAGTCGAGCTAAAAAAACCTCCAAAATTGTGCCGATTTTCCTTAAAGCCAAATCAATTATACAGCAAATATGATTTTTTCATCGTTAACCAGTATTTATGTGTGTAAATTATCACTGGAAAACTAGAAATGTGTTACTACTACACCCCTATGCCCCTGACAAAATTATGATGTTTTTAGCTCCAAGTACATATTTTGTCATAAGGTACAACTATTGCAAGTGACACACGCCCAGGCACTAATATTGTAATTGTAATTGTTTCAATTTGAAAATACTTTGCAGCATGCACACAAAACTTTTATATATGCAAAAAGATAACAAACAAAATATTTCAGGTTTTCGTACATTAAATTAAATCAATATCAACATAAGCAGAACAAAATTTTCACTAAGATAAGGTATTCAAAAAAACATGTTTTTGTAAACCAAAAATATCTTAAACGGGCTCCACTGAGGTCCAACACCATACAATTTGAATTGTTTATATACATGTAATTCAACTGGGGCACTTAATGCAGAAAATTATGCATGAGATTAGAGAGTCATATACTCAGCATTACATTGAAAGTCAAGGGCGATTCTAATATCAATTTTAGTTAAAGCTGCATGCTTCCATAATAAGCCAAAATATTTCAAGAAAATCAACCTTGAGAAAAAGGTACTCATATTTAAGAAAAGTAAAAAAGATTCAAGTAATAAATTACATGTTATAACTTATGAGCAATTAATTATAATTTAATAACTGATTTTGCAGTATTTATCACCATATTTATATACTGCCTAAGTAATGCAGTAAGGGCTGTTTTGGGTAATTTGGTAATTTACTTAAAATATATGTTCCGTTTGCAATGTGTAAATTTTTTGCTCACTTCACAATACTTTGCTTTTTAAATACATTTTCAAACTTTTCATGAAAAATAACATTAATTTGGAGGCATGCTGCTTTAAAAGCTTCTGAATGCTTTTCATTTTGAGGCCATTTCGCACAATAAATTTTCTTTATCTTGAAAAACAGGGTGAGTGAATAATCTAAAATCTTGCACACTAGTTAGAAGTCCAGACCTACATCAAATGAAACAAAAATCTCGCAAAATATTTCCAGTCCTGTCATTTCAAAATAACTCAGTGGAGTCCCTTTAAAGAGAGCAACTAGTCAATATACATGTATAATAGACTATATTGTTAATATAAATAGTAAAGTCATACTTAAATATTTAACCAGTAAACAAGTATAACTTCTTTGAATCTAAGCTGAAGTTAACAGATGCCTTGAAAACAGGAGATGTCATTTAAAGCAAAAGACTTTCGGACTTTCCGCGTAATATGAAATTAGGCAAAGCCTATGTCGTATGAACGGGGAAAGCGTTAAAAGATCCTTTCATTCTTTCCGTTTTAAAGGTGTCATTCGATATTACATACACAGCTTCCGTTTTCACTCGGAACACTCGACGATTATTACTAATCCGAAAAGTTGAGATTTGCTCCGTTATCGGAATACCCCGCCTATTATCATTGACATACATTGTAAATGGCGGTGCCTGACTAGAACTGACACTGAAAATTTTATTGATAGGTATAGAATTCTATATATTTTTTAAATGTTTTTTATTTGATTTTCTTTTAAATATTCACGTGTAGTCTATAGCCGGCCCAATCTTTGACTTCCCCGTATAAATAGTAAAGTCATACTTAAATATTTAACCAGTAAACAAGTATAACTTCTTTAAATCTAAGCTGAAGTTAACAGATGCCTTGAAAACAGTTCAAAAGTGACAACATAATGATACTGTATATAATTGTATACCAAACAAGAAATAAAAATTTTGATTTTATAACTAGTGTTAATAAGAAATTAAACAAGAGGGCCATGATGGCCCTGAAGTCGCTCACCTGTATATAGGCCCCCTGGAGCGGGGCCAGTTTAAACCCCAGGGGTTTTATTTGAACAAACTTGGTAGACACCCATTTGAAGATGTTTCATGCTAAACATCTAAGGTATAGCTTGTTGGGTTTTTTAAAAGAAGATTTTTTAAGTTTTTTCTTTACACATATATTTAAAAACAATGACACCCCTGGGACAGGGTCAGTTTTGACCCCAGGGCTTTTATTTGAACAATCTTTGTAGACACTTCCTGGAAGATGTTTCATGCTTAATATCTAAACTCTAGCTATTCGGGTTTTTTCGAAGAAGATTTTTAAGTTTTTGCTATACACATATAAGGAAAATCAATGTCCCCCAGGGCCGGACCAATTTTGACCCCAGGGCTCTTATTTGAACAAACTTGGTAGACATCCATTAGAACATGTTTCATGCTAAATATCTTAGCTCTAGCTCTTTGGGTTCTTTAAAAGAAGATTTTTAAGTTTTTACTATATGCATATAGGAAAGATTAATGACCCCCTGGGGCGGGTCCAATTTTGATCCCAGGGCTTTTATTTGAACAAACTTGGTAGACACCCATTAGAAGATGTTTCATCTTAAATATCATAGCTCTAGCTCTTTTGGTTCTTTAAAAGAAGACTTTTTAATTTTTACTATATACATATAGGAAAAATCAATGACCCCCTGGGATGGGGGCAATTTTTTCTTTTGGTTGTCATGGCAACCAGAGTTCTACATGGAATTAAATTCTTTGAACAATTTTCAAAGGTGACCACCAAAGGAACATTCCTGTGAAGTTTGGTTGAAATTGGCTTAGTGGTTTATGAGGAGATGTCATTTAAAGTAAAAGTTTACGGACGCCGGACGAAAAGCGATCACAAAAGCTCACCCTGTCACAAAGTGACAGGTGAGCTAAAAACTTAAACAAATTAAAGTTTTCCCCTCATGGAGGAGAAAATGTTTGCATTTCTATGAAGAAATATTAAAACCAAATTTTAATTATGTTTACAATGTTTGTTCTTGTGATATAATAATGTCCCAAGTTGTTTAGGCAGTCACAAATGGTCTCAATGACCTGAAAATGTTCATGTGAGCAAAAAAAAAGATCACAGATTGCTAAACACTGCAAGTATGTTGAAGTAGAATTAACCTAATCGGCTTAGATGTTTTACAAAGCTTGCCATGTATCTTCATAATTATAATATCTGCATATACAATGTATAGTACAGTACATAGAAGTATATAGGCCTACCTTGGCCACAGGTCTCTGCAAACTACTGTTTCAGTAACCACATAGACAAATGAAGTACATGACTGTAATTAATATAAAACTATTAAATGCATTGTACAATCTCTTTTGTAAATAAATGCAAAGAAGCCCATGATGCAAAAACTTAACAAATACAATACATGTGTAGTATACTGTAACAGTAACAGAAAACAGACTTAGAAATACTTGTACATGTAATAAAATGTCACATATTCATAAGCTGTCTGTTGATGTTCAGTACAACTCAGTGCCTCTTAACCTTGGTAAATTCTGAATTTCTCACTACGGTCCAGAAAATTTTTTTTTTTTTCATTTAAATGTCATCACTACAATATTGAAATTGTACAGCAAGGGTTGCCATGGGGACAGTATGCTATACTATTCTCATTGCTTGTAAAACAAGAGTTTTTGATAATGTAGGAATTTACAAATAAGAAGACTTCATTAAAATCATTTGGCATAGAATATTGGAAATTGGCCTACAAAGACATCATGTGTTAAATTTGAAGCAATTCATTAAGTTTTGATGACAAACCTTGCACATAAAACAAAAACCAGAAATTTGTCTTAATTCCTTGGTTCGCAAAGAACAAATTTATGTCAAAAGCCATCATAGAGTTATGGACCTTTAAATAAATACCTCCCCTTATAATCTAAAAGACACATTTGAAGTTCTTTGTGGTTTATCAGATATAAAGTTATTCAAAAAGATATTTGCAATCTTTAACCAAGTGTGTTTATCTAGCCCTAAATTACAGTCCTCAAATACATCCTGTTATTCCAGTAAACTAAGCTAAAATGCTGAGCTATTTATAACATTGAATAAACAGTTTGAAAGTCATTGTTAACTAAATATCACTTAATAGCACACTACCATGATGGTTTTTAAAGTTTACTGTTATATAATTAAACAAATCAATTACAGTAATTTGAAACAAAGAATTACAAGGATAATCTAGTTTCTATATTTGTATAGGTAGTACTGTGAGATCAGGGCTTTGATCTGCTAAAACAACAAAATGATTTCCTGAATGACTGAAATTCTTCATCCAATTTATTTTAGAAGAATGCTGTATTTCAGAAAGTTTGCAATTTTCAGTAATCTGAGAATTTCTGCTATGTATTGGACTAGAGTGTCCGTTTGTCTCTGAGGGTGCATGTGTACTAGCATCTTCACCGCTGTTCATTTTAGAAAGATCCCAGGATGCCACAGTACAGTCGTTCCCACCTGTCAGAAGTTTTGTGGACGAGACAAAGTCAACCTGTGACACGCCTTGTGTGTGAGCATGCAGTGTGCACATTTCTGCAATATTTTTTTTACTTGCATCAAAAACAGAAACAAATCCATTTTCAAGAGCGCACGCCAGATATTTCCCGTCCGGTGACATTGACAAATTATGCACAAAAGGAGGGTTCACCATATAAGCACCTAGATCAGATGGGGCGTCTTGTAATTCTTGCATATTAAATTGATTAAGGCACTTTGGACGCGAGAAATCCCAGTGAATGAGGTTACAGTCCATTCCCCCTGAGAAAATTTCCCATGGTTTCCGTACCCTGAAACAGACGGTAGCACAAATGTTTGTGTGCTTTCGTCGTAAGGTTTTATAAAGACGTTTTTCCTGGAGTGAGATTATCTTGACATCGCCGGAGTCGTCGCATGCTGCTAGGAATCCTTCTTTCTCATCAAGCACTATTTGATCAATCTCCTCTTCATTAAACTGATATGATTCAACAGGACTTTGTATGTTTCTTGAATCAAACACCTTTACTGTATTACCTAAAGATGCATAAAATATACTTTCTTTTGTTCTGGAAATATAAACACCAGTGCAGTCCTCATTTTCTCCATGTAACTTATGGCTGAGGGTTCCATCACGAGTCCACAAACATATTTCGCCATCTTCGCCACCGGAAATTATGCGAGAGCCGTCACTTTTAGCATCAACACAAAGGGCTGAATTTGTATGCCCACCTTGTAGTTTCACATTCAGTTCTTCCATGCTGCAAAAAAAGAAAAGAAAAATATACATGTATTGTCATATTACTGGCAAGCATTGAGAACTCTGGACATAAGAATAAATCTGGAATATTTTTACACATCCGACTTTTCCTACATTATTTCATATTTCAAGAGGAATATCAAATGTTCAGTTTTGGTTCACTAATGAAATACTTATTAATAATGATTATTTATGTTGCTATGCCTAGTGAATACCAAATGTTTACCTCGGCAAATTACTGCTTAAATACAGGAATGGGAACGCCGCAAAGGCTGTAGCTGTACCTCAATTTTCTTTAAAAAAAAAATAATAAGCTAAAAATCAACAGAAATCAAGTGAAATTTAGGCCATTTATGAATGAATGGTCTTCTTGAATGTCTTGTCTAAAGGGTTGTTGTGACCAAGTATGAAGACAATACAAGAAGAACTAAATTAAAAAGATTTGATCAACGGACGGCAATGCCAACATGACTATAACAATACTTCTCTGTTTTCTTTGGAAAAAAGTTGAGTTAAAAAAAATGAAATTCTGAATTTTATTTGGTAATATTCATGGCTTTAACTACAGTCTCATACTACCAGGAACAACAGGATAATTTTTTGCGGACAAAACTTGAATACGTGCATATCTTTTAGACAGTTTCTTTAAAATGGGTTTTGAGGTAAAGGGTCAACTTAGCATAAATACAAATGTAGACATTTTATATGTTTCACTGTCTTATGTCTGTATATTGTTATTGTAAGTTTGTGGCAACTGATGCATTTATATGGGAAATATTTGTTCTGCTCAGCCGGCAATTCCATAATCCATTTTGAACAACTATTAAACTAACACTGAGTACGGTGTAAAGAAATAAATAAGGTTACAAATACTGATAATTATATTCCTCTATAAAACTTGTTATTCTACATTCATAATTGTTGTGTGTAACAATCAGGCTTGATGAAAATATTTTAACCAGTACTAAAATATAGGCCGAGATGACCCGTGTTTAATTTGTATAGGGCGCCTAGTTGACAAGGATTTTGAGTTCATTTAAGGGCCAGCTGAGGCAATCAGGTCAACCTATTTTGGGCTAGGGGAAACAGCCTTAATACGGCTGTAAGATACTGGGGTTAAAATCACTGCTTTGATCTAAATATATAAACCCTGAATGGAAACAGAAATTAGAATTGCAAAAAAAATATGTTGGTGCATATTGTTCTCAAAATTGAAAGATCATGCCAATTAAAAATGTGATAACTGTTTGTTGGAAATTGTCAAATGTTCCAGATTTTTTTTTTTTGTTATACTAGTTAACGTATTTGTCATAGGGTAGACTGACCCAATTTGCGTTAAGGATTATTAAGAGTGAAAACAACAACCAGTATTTATTCATATTCCATTTATTAATCATTAATACCCTATGACATATTGAATTTGATATTATATTTTATCACAAACTTTCATTACTGTAATTACAGTCCATGATTTTTTATTATTTTGTTATTGAATATTTTTTTTATTTTAAAACTTTTAGCACAATTATCATGTGCATTGTTGATTTTCAATTTAAAGACAGGCATTATCTACCTATTCAAATATGTTTTCAATCACTTTTAAGACAAATGCATCTTTTTTCGCATGTTGTTAATCCTATTATCATATGCTTATTTAAGTATAAAGATATGTTCTGTTTTGTACAATTAAATGTTATTGATATGTGATGATAGACGTCTTCATGATCTTCGTTTGTCGTTTGTAAATTATGAAAATAAAAAAGTTGCCAACAAAAGGGTAAAAAAATGTATCCTAGTGTCAATTTCGGGAAACGAACAAAAGTCCTCCCATCCAAAAATGACGAGGACAAAAGCCCTCCCATGAAAATGACAGGGCAGACAAAAGCCCTCCTGTGAAAATGACTGGACGTACAAAAACCCTCCCGTGAAATTAACAAGGCGTAGTTACAAAAATATGTATGTATGTTAAATGTCTGCTTTTTTCAAATGGACACAACATATTAAAATTGTAACATATATATTTGTTGTTGTTTTCAATTGGCCTAAGTTTGTGTATGAGCTAGAACTACCTTTCATTCAGAATATACCTTTCTGAAATGTTTAACGAGGTAACTTTTTACATGAATGTCATTAAAAACAAAGTCACATTGAAATCGTCGCAAGGCGCATTATAAATGTCTGGGACTAACTTTTAAATTTAGTTAATTAAAACTTCTTTTCATCATTTATTACTCTATTAATCTTAACTTCATTCATATTTACGCAAATAAATATACACTTACTAGTCACATTTTAGCATTTATTATTCAGATGCCTGTCAGGAATGAGCTAAAGCTCAACAGGTATGGATACCTGAGCTCATACAAACATGATGCTAATGCCAATGGAAAAAAAATATTGAAAAGAAAAAACAAAGTATTCAAGGTGCATATATGTATTTGCCACCCAAGGGCTTTTGTCTGCCCGGTTATTTTCAAGGGTGGGCTTTTGTCCTCCTAGTCATTTTCACTGGAGGGCTTTTGTCCACCCAGTCATTTTCACAGGAGGGCTTTTGCCCGTCTTGTCATTTTTGGACGAGATGGCTTTTGTCCTAAGCATGTCAATTTCAATTATTCTTTTCCAAGTTTTTTTTAAAGATATATCTTAAACTAACTGATAATTTATCAAATATTAGAAAAATATAAATGATAAAAATAGGGGACGAGTTGACCACGGGACAAGCTGACCAAAAAGACGAGTTGACCGCGGGACGAGTCGACTCGAAATCGAGCTGACCCCGTGTTGTTGAATTTAATCAGAAAAAAGGGGTACTGTACAGAGCGCCTTCTTAAATTATATGGTAACATAAGCTTATAAATTAAAAATTACAAAGATAGATATACTTTCAAGGTACAAATAAGCACAGTTTTATTAGGACCTTTTATTACATTTACAGTTTTCTTCTTTTAGATTTCGCCTAGACGCTTGTATTTTGTTTTAAACGAACGGAGATTTAGTACCGAAAAAGACTTAAACACGAAACGAAGCAACTAGTTGGTTAACACCACTAATTTTTTAACTTTTTTTCATTTTACATTTTGACAAAGTAAAATAATTAAAGTTTTTCTAGATTTCCTATAAGTTTTTACTATAAATTGAGCTACTGGCACTTCGTTTTGGATAAGTGAAACACGTGTGACATTCTCTTGCACTGATGGTGTTTAACTCAAGTAATATGATATGAATTACATTGTAGTATATATAGTGGAACCCCATTGTATCGTGCTATTCATTGTATCGATCTATTTACAAATCTTTCGATTTTTTTGCAAAATGCAGTAGCTACTGATTGCTAACATTTACAAAAGTGTCACGAAAATCTTTCGCATTTGTTTTGTGCCGTAAAAATGGTCAAAAACAGGTTTCCAGTACCGTCAGACTTTGTAGATAATAAATGGACTTATAAATAGTGTGTTCTTATTAAAAACACATTTACTGTCTGTTGAAAGTTCCTAAATTTATGCTGACATTTTAAAACAGACATCTTTGATTCTAATTGACTGAAAAATCTAGCATAAAGATGGGTCAGACTTCCAAAACTTTGATTAACTGAGCGATTCTCACAATGCATCGATATAATGGCGTGACCTAATTCTTCAACCTGTTTGACATATCTGTAAATAATCGTATATTCCAAAGCTAAAAACTATATATCAGTGATGTTTGCCATGTAATATTTATGACAAAAGAATCAAAATAAATGATACAAAATAAAGATTCAGGGAAATTTAATGTTTTTAACTGCTGTTGTGATTTATGGGTTAATAGATCGATACAACGGGGTTCCAGGCTAATAGCTATCAAAAATTTGTAAGCTACGGATTTTTGATGGCCTTAAAACTCCAACTCATCCGTTTTTTGCATAAGTCAATTAGACAGAATTGATAAAATTCTTTATTACAGGTAATAATACAACGATTTTTAGGGAAGCTAACCCCAGTAATTTTGTTTTAACGGTCAGAAATGTCGTAAAAAAAATTACAATTGAAAATAGAAAATAATAAAATTATTATTTTATAGTCATATGTTTAGTTCAGTTCGGTGTATTTCAAAACTTTACATTATTTTTGAGTTTCACTTTGAATTTAGTAAATGTATAGCATTAGAGTACGAAATATAAAAATCAAGACTCAATATAAAAGGTTAATAATTTTCAATAGATATGTTTTAGCCACTGTTAATGAATAGTAATTGATTTTTTTGATTTCTTATTTCGGAAATAATTAAGACACATACAGTTTTCATTAAGAGGTGTACCTGTCAAAGTGGCATTAACAATGCCGCCCAAATATATTAGTATTGCCGTATCTATCTACATAAAACCCAAATATTAGCTAGTGCGGAATGATGGTTAACTAGTGTGCTTTTGTCCAATATGTTATTTTTGATTGTCCATGCATCCGTTTGCCTGTGTGTTTGCGTGTCTGTATGTTTGTTCTTCGATCTGGGATATAATCACTGCTTAAAATAGAAGACGGTGCGTTCAGAGTGAATCCATTGGTAACCATTGGAAGGTTTACCTACTATTGGCATACAAATGGTACATTCCAATGGTTAAGGACAAAATTTGCCATTGTAATTAATTTTCAGACAAAGTAATTACAAACTAAGGACCAAATTTATGATTTAAATATGGGTCACATTTAGTACCAATGTCTATCATATTGCCAATGACAAAAATAATTTGATAAAAATTTGTTCAAATTTATATTTTAAACCAGTATAGTACCAATTAATGGAACATGTAATTAATCCCTCCTTTTCACGAAAACAAAACCCCAGAATGAATGGACTAGCCCCTGCCATTTTGATATTAGGAAGTTTTGCTTTAATCTAAAAGGCAAACAAAGTAACTACTGTAGTAGCATGTGACAGAAAACAGTATAATTTTGATAATTGAACAAATGAATAAATTTAAAGGAAAAATTGGTATCTAGAGATCAGTGGTAGTTATATCAACTAGTACCACTCACAGGTGCTTGAAACAAACTTATTAAAGTTTTATATGGGATATATACTATAATAAGATATCTTAATATACATAATAGACCGGTTATGTAAAATATTTGATTATGTGACTAGCGCCTGTGGTACCACTGGGATCGGAAACTATTTAGTGGTGTTCGACCGTTTAAACAACAAATATGGCAGCCCCCACGACTTGCCCAATATCATCGCCGATGCACTATGATCCTTCTTTCAAAGGTTACATGACATTGTTTTCTATTGTATAAAATGCATGGTCATAATGATCTGTGTAATTGGTATAAATGTCAGTGCCTTTTAAATTTTTAAGTGACAGTGTAGCAGTCCTCGGATACCTAGCCATTTCGTGCAGCTTATCTGCTTATTTGTTCTGATCAGTCGTGACGAAGACATAAGTATAACAAGGGCCATGTTAGCATGGCCATCCCCCGCCGAATGTGTTTGCTGGTCGGAAGAATGTTTTTGTAGTAGAGCAGAATAGTTCAAGTTAAAAGAGGTCTTTTGGTAATGAAAACTGATGGCTGAAGTGATTACAGATTTAAAACCAATGTGAATACTGATGCCTGAAAATAACAACTGTCAAAGGGCAATAACTGCAAAATAATGCAGGGTAGGTTATCATTCTTCACTGCACTCCTCCTCAATGAGATCTATCCACCTATGAAGTTTCAAGTTGATACCACTAACACTTTTTGAGATAAGCTCTGGACAAAAAGTATGAAAAATATCAAAGGGCAATAACTCAAAAAATTATAAAGGGTAAAGTTATCATTCTTGCACACAGCATTCCTCCTCAATAAGATCTATCCACCTATGAAGTTTCATGTTGACATCTCAAAGACTTTTTGAGTTATGCTCCACTCAGGTGAAAAATTAAGTATGAAAAAAACAAAGGGCATGTATACTCAACATCACTAATTCCGCGTCATCACTTATTTCACGGTAATGGCATATTTTCATGTGACCAGTGTTGAAATTGTTCAGAATTGACATATTTTATTCATACACATATCCAACAAAGTTTTTGAGCAAAATATTTTAAATCTCTAGATTTTTACGTAAAACAGAACAACATTTTACAAATTTCTGCAAAAAGCACCAATAGTCCATTAAATTTGTGCGTGCCGTATGTCTGAAACAATCATCATTTTTTAAATGTTCTTGTTTGTTGAGGTACATAGTAAGGATATAATCAAGCAAAATAACATGTAGAAATTTTAACTGAAACATGAAAAAACTGAAATGTAATACCATTACCGCGATTTAAATGATGACATACTGTTTTCAAAATGGCCCACATATGGTCTACGTTTGGTCCATTAAAATTATTTTGACTGAACATAATTATTGTTATTTCCTTGTGCCATACAGCAGAAAATACTTATATGTTATAGCTTATGACAATTTCTGTACCCAGGGTTCGAATTTAAGCTGGCATACTGGCAAAATGCCAGTTAAAATCTAATAATGCCAGTAAAAATTACTCTAGCTGGCATTTATTTGCAAGTGACTGTTCATTTTGGACTTTTACATAATTGATATCTTCTGAGCTGATGATGATGCTTGGCAACTGTCCCCTGGAGAAACTGATGATGTTTACTGTGCCAGATGCAGTAATTGATGAAGTTTACCTTAAAAACTTAAAAATCAATTTTTGGTTGCTCTATTTATTTTTTCTGTGACTATGTTTTGATGGACTATTTATAACAGCCAAACACATGTTGTTTTATCAGGGTCCAATGTAAATGCGTAGCACTTCTCTGTAAAGTGTTTACTTATAAGCTGAAATATTTATTTAAGTAGATCAGTACCTCTGAGTTTTCAGGCTGTTGGTGTAATCAAGTACAAAATATGCTTAAATTAATGAAGGTCCTAAGAATTGTCATACCATAATATGTTCAAAATACATTGTCATTGTGTATTATAATAATAAGATACATTATAATGGAAATGCCAGTGGAATACCTCATATTGCCAGTTAATCATTTGATCACTTGCAAGAATTTGCAAGTAGAAATTATTGCTAAATTCTATCCCTGGTACTGTAAGTTTCATTTGTTGTTTTCTTTCTGGTTTGAAAGCGTTAAGTACCGTAAACTAAGAGGAAGAGGAGCAAAATATACATTTATCTGGAAAAAATATTGTCAGTCCCTTCATGTCAAACAACCTCAGTGGAGTCCCTTAATGGTCACATTATTATAATTTCAAGTTTTTGCTTTAATTGATTATAACTTTGTAAGTAGTCACTAGTGGATGGATTGTCTCCATACTTTGGCACAACGATCCTTGGGACAAGGCGTTAAAAAAAGGAAAGCTGTCCAGCTAGCTTACAAATTGTTTTTGGTTCTACTCAGGTGAAATAATGACAAGAGAGGGCACCTTAGTAGAGCGCAGGTTACAATTTGTCTCTAGTTTTAAGTAAAGAATATTCTCAAAATCATTGATAATGTTTGTTGTCATGCTTATTTTTATGTCCCAGAAGGACGGCATATTAAAATCACACTGTCCGTCTGTGCATCCCCACTTCATTCCTGTCCGGACTGCAACTTTGTCATACATTTAGGCATTTTGAAATAGCTTGGCACAAAATATAATGTCTTCCACATCAAGAATGATGATGTGTCACATCCAAGAACCACGTCCCTACCTCAAAGGTCAAGGTCACACTAACATTTTGAAGTTTCACTTTAGATAAGTGAATGCAAGTAATCACTGTCTAGGATGGCATTTTCAAATATTTAAGCACTATAACAGTGAAGAAGCCCTTATTTTCAAAGATTTTAGAGTTTTTTATTCAATATTTAACCAGGTTTTCCGAAGGAAAAAACTGGTTATTAGATTGAGGTATGTCGGCGGGTAGACGGACGGGCGGGTGGGCGGGCGTAAACAATTTCTTCTGTGCGCAACTCCTCCTACATTTCTCAACGGATTTTTGACCAAACTTTCACAGAAGCTTTGTCATCAAGTGCCCTGGCGCATATTGTCGGGGTTTTGCGATTAGATAATATTTGACCTAATTATGGCCCTTTGTTTTTTTTTCTTATATAAAATATATAGTGAACAATTTCTTCTGTGCGCAACTCCTCCTACATTTCTCAACGGATTTTGACCAAACTTTCTCAGAAGCTTTGTCATCAAGTGCCCTGACACATATTGCCGGGGTTTTGCAATTGGATAATATTTGACCTAATTATGGCCCTTTGTTTTTTTTCCTTATATAGAATATATAGTGAACAATTTCTTCTGTGCGCAACTCCTCCTACATTTCTCAACGGATTTTGACCAAACTTTCTTAGAAGCTTTGTTATCAAGTGCCTGGCACATATTGTCGGGGTTTTGTGATTGGATAATATTTGACCGAATTATGGCCCTTTGTATATTTTTTCCTTATACAGAATATATAGAGAACAATTTCTTCTGTGCTCAACTCCTCCTACATTTCTCAACGGATTTTGACCAAACTTTCTTAGAAGCTTTGTTTTCAAGTGCCTGGCACATATTTTCGGGGTTTTGTGATTGTTGGATAATATTTGACCGAATTATGGCCCTTTGTATATTTTTTCCTTATACAGAATATATAGTGAACAATTTCTACAGTGCGCAACTTCTCCTACATTTCTCAATGGATTTTGACCAAACTTTCACAGAAGCTTTGTCATCAAGTGCCCTGGCGCTCACTAAATTCCCATGTTTCTTCCAAGACATCATTCAAGTATTTTTTTAAAATTGTGAACATACTTTTCTTGATATCGCACAAAACACCACACGCCAATATTGTTGACAAAAGAAAATGACAAGAGACGCAAAAATGCAAAAATTAAGCAAAAATAAAGTACTGTTTACCTTTCTAAAACATTTGGGAAAAAAAGGCGAATAGACAACATAAAATTTCTCAATCATTTTTGTTTGAGGAATATTAAAAAAGCCATAATTCCTCCTAAAAGTTCAATTAAAAACAAATGCCCCTTCATGACAAAGCTTCTGTGAAATATTTTGCTGAAAACCTGGTTGCATCGCATTGCGATGTTCCTTGTTTCATTTTGTAACTTTTATTTGGGAATTATTTCCTGTGGATTGGGAAAATAATATACAATTTTTAATTGGGAATATGACTGAATATCGGCTATAAAACAACCCAAAAAAAATCCCAGGAAATATTATATTTATATTATATTTATTTAAATGATTTTCAGTTGATGTACAGCTTCACCAACCTCTATTGTCAAGCAGCACTACCCCATATGATGTCAGACTAGAAATGATGTCACTTTGCTTTCAGTTAGAAACTCTTTGTAAGAAAGAACTCACAGAGGTATGTACATTAAAGGGGTTTTACAAATTTTATTTACAAAAATATTTTAATATCTTATGATTAAAAAATTGTGTGTAATTTTTAAATGGATACCCATGCAAAATTAACATGTCTTTATTCACTTTTCTGTGATTTGAATACACAAGATCATTTAACTATTTTTGCCATTAATTTGCCTGAGTATCCCTTTAAAGTACTAAAATATATGCATTGAATTTTTCTTGCAGTTATTTCTTTTGTTTGTATTATTAAAAGGTCAATGTTGACATTTAAGATACCTATAATTCTTTTGTCATTTGTGTTGACTAATAAGAATCAAGAATCAATTAGTTTCGGTATGAATCTTGTTTCATGTGTCATGTTTATCATTATGCACTTATTTTACATTGTAATTGTTTTACCTGAAAATGCCAATGATTGGAAAATAAATCTGCTCTGTTCCACGTCATAGCTGAAACCCATTTGACTGCCTCCAAGACATGTTTAAACCCATTTACATACAGAACTCTTTGTTGATATGGTTATTTAAGGTTGAAACAGTTACTCGAATAAGTCAGTGATTTTTTTTCCAATTTTCAAAACAACCTGTGACTTTCTGAAGGGGAAAATATAGGGTGATAAATCAGAAAAGGGGAAAAACCTAACAGCTGAAACACATTTTACAATTTTTTAGCTCGACTATTCAGGAATATGAGAGCTATTGTAGTCGCCCCGGCGTCAGCGTCCGCGTCGGCGTCTGCGTTGGTTAAAGTTTTTTGTAAAGTCAAATATCTCAATTATTACTTGAGATATTCAATTGAAACTTACAATACTTATTTATAGTAACAAGGCACATCAGATTGACTAGTTGGATAACTCTGCCTACAATATTGACAGAATTATGCCCCTTTTTAACTTAGAAATTTTGGTTAAAGTTTTTTGTGAAGTCAAATATCTCAATCAATGCTTGAGATATTCAATTGAAACTTACAATACTTATTTATAGTAACAAGGTGCATCAGATTGACAAGTTGGATAACTCTGCCTACAATATTAACAGAATTATGCCCCTTTGGAACTTAGAAATTTTGGTTAAAGTTTTTTTGTAAAGTCAAATATCACAATTATTGCTTGAGATATTCAATTGAAATTTAAAATACTTTTTTATAGTAACAATGTACATCAGTTTGCAAAATTGCATAACTCTGCCTGTAATATTTGCAGAATAATTCGCCCCTTTGAAACTTAGAAATTTTGGTTAAAGATTAAAGGTCTTCAAAGATATTTACTTGAAACTTTACACATGCACTTAGGGTCATAATTGGAGGGTCATAATTGTATGTCACTGACCAAGTTCCATAACTCTATCTTGCATTAAGGCTGATTCATATCCCCTTTTCTACTTAGTCTCTTGGTTAGTGTTTGCATGCATGTTTTACATATCTCAATAACTATTAAAGATATTTATTAAAAACTTCACATATGCATTTAGGGTCATAATTGTAGGTCACTGACAAAGATCCATAATTCTATCTTGCATTTAGGCTGATTTTTCTCCCCTTTTTCAACTTAGAAATTCATGGTTAAGTTTTTCATGTAAGTTGTTGGGACACAATTTTATGCATTCATAATAATAAAGCAGTGATTTACTTGATAAAACATCTTAAAAACAAGCCTTTGTACCTTTTCTGTCAAATTTATTTATTCATAGGTAATTACTTATTAGTATTATTATACTAATAAAAGACCCTTGTGGCATTACTTTCCGAATAGTCAAGCCAATACTGTATAATTAGACTCTCTCTTAGGCCTATAACATGAATTTATAAAAAAATTAGCCCTTTTGTGAACTTAAAAAATTAAACAATATAAAGGCTCTTTTACTATCAAGCACTTAGAATAGTCAAGCGTGCTGTCCTACAGACAGCTCTTGTTTATTTTCAATTCAATTTAACATGCATGGTACATGGTAGCGGCAATCTTAAGAGACAGCTGTCTGTCTTTTAGCTGATATAAGTCAGATGCTGTTAAGTCATGGTTCTGGTAAAGATTAGAGCACAAAGCATTTTAGGGGAAAATATTAGCATCTCTATTAAATAGTAGGAGATTTTCCATAATTTTGGAATTCCACTGACTGTTATGTCACCGAAAATCCAAACGGACACAGTTGAACCTGAAAATTGGAAATTTTATGTCAAGTTATAATCTAAGTGAGGACTATATTGCATATTGAATATACAGTCGATGAAGCCTCTTTTTAACTATTATATGAAGGATATTTGTTTAGTTCAGTGTAAGATGGGAATATATTTCACCGAGTGAGCACCAAAAGGTATATTTCATGAGTGGCGCAGCTACAAGTGAAATATGAACTTTTGGTGTTCATGAGGTGAAATATTTTTCCATCTTACACTAAACTAAACAAATTTTCTTTTTATTATATGCAAATCAATGTTTAAAAAGACAATTAACCTAATACTAAATAAAAAGTGCGCCAAATAATAAAACAATGTGACATCACATCATTATGTTGGTTTCCAGTCCTATACATGCTGGATTTCAATGAAAAAACGTAATGGGCTTAAATTCAAAACAGTGAAAAATATCAAATTGATAATTTCACTGTTTCAAACGGTGAAATAGCAGTTTTATATTTCACTGATATATTTCTATAAGCCACTGAAAAGCATGTAATAAATTTTTATTTTTATGCCACCGCAGCATCTGCGATGCTGTGGCATATAGCGATTCACCTGTGTGTATGCGTGTGTATGGGTGTGTTTGTGTGTATGTTATATAGATTATATAGTGAACTTATAAAATCTTCTTGTGAAAAACCACTAGTCCAATTTCAACCAAACTTGGCAGGATTGTTCCTTGGGTGAAGGGCTTCCAAAGTTGTTCAAAGAATTTCATTCCATGCAGAAATCTGGTTGCCATGGCAACCAAAAGGAATAATAAGAATAAATTAAAAAAAATCTTCTTGTAAAGACCCAAAAGGCCTAAAGCTTAGATATTTTGCATAAGGAATTGTCTGGTAGACCTCTACAAGATTGTTCAAATTATAGCCCTGGGGTCAAAAACCACAAGTCCAATTTCAACCAAACTTGGCAGGATTGTTCCTTGGGTGAAGGGCTTCCAAAGTTGTTCAAAGAATTTCATTCCATGCAGAAATCTGGTTGCCATGGCAACCAAAAGGAATAATAAGAATAAATTTAAAAAATCTTCTTGTAAAGACCCAAAAGGCCTAGAGCTTAGATATTTTGCATAAGGAATTGTCTGGTAGACCTCTACAAGATTGTTTAAATTATAGCCCAGGGGTCAAAATTGGCCCCACCCCGGGGGTCATTGATTTTCACTATGTACATATAGTAAAAACTTAAAATACCATCTTGTAAAAACCCAAAAGGCCTAGAGCTTAGATATTTTGCATAAGGTATCATCGGGTAGACCCTTACCATGTTTGTTCAAATTATAGCCCTTGGGTCAAAATCAGCCCCGCTCCGGGGTCATTGATTTTCGCTATATGTACATATAGTAAAAACTTAAAACACCTTCTTGTAAAGACCCAAAAGGCTAAGAGCTTAGATATTTTGCATAAGGCATTGTTTGGTAGACCTCTACCCAGATTGTTCAAATTATAGCCCTGGGGTCAAAATCGGCCCGCCCCAGGGGTCATTGGTTTTCCTTATATGTATATAGTAAAAACTTTAAAAAAATTCTTCTAGCAATTGACAAATGCTAAAGGTTAGATATTTTGCATGAAACATTGTGTTGTAAAACTCTAGCAAGATTGTTCAAATTATAGCCCGGGGGTCAAAATTGTCCCCGCCCTTGGGGTCATTGATTTCAATATATTCATATAGTAAAAAATAAAAAAATCTTATTGTCTGAAGGTACAAGGCTTAGAGCTTTAATATTTGTTAAATAATATCATCTAAAGGTTACTCTACCAAAGATGTTCAAATTTTGCCTCTAATGTGTCAAAATTAGCCCCGCCCCTTATTATCAGGGAGCCATAGGTTTATCCTATATGAATATAGTTTAAACTTAAAAAATCATCTTCTCTAAATTTACAAAGGATAAAGTTAAGATATTTTGCATGAAACATTGTGTAGTGAACCTCTAGCAAGATTGTTCAAATTATAGCCCTGGGGTCAAAATTGGTTCCGCCCCGGGGGTCATTGATTTTCATTATGTACATATAGTGAAAATAAAAAAATTTTATCTGAAGGTCCAAGGCATAGAGCTTTGATGTTTGATATATAATATCATCTATAGGTCCTCTACCAAAGTTGTTCAAATGTCAAAAATTGGCCCTGCCCGGGGGCAGTGATTCTCATTATGTACACGTAGTAAAAACAGAAAATAAAACAGATGTTTTCTGAATGGGAGAAAGCTATAGCTTAGATATTTGACTTGAAATGTTGTTTGGTGGACCTGTATCAAGATTGTTATTAAACCTTTGGGTCAAAATTATGCCTTGCCCAAGGGGACAGTGACCTACTTTCTTGACCTTTGATGTACAGAAATGACATTTTGACCATGTGCACAGTTTTAGTTGTAAAATTGAACTTTGAGCTAGATTTTGATGATGTGACCTACTTTCTTGTCCTTTGATGTACAGCTTTAAAATTTGAACCATGCGGTGGCATAGCATTTTTCTCAAATGCAATCTTGTTTTTTAAATATTTCTATAGACATCAAACAATATCTTTGATAAACGTATACAATGACCAAATATATTTATGTCTATCTGTAGAAATCTTGTAGAAATATTGACAAATCAATTATATTATATTGATGAAACCTTTCCTGATAATATAACTGAAACCTTTCCTTAAAATTTTATTGGCAGAAAAATAAAATTTAATTTTCAGTTTGAGGGAATACATGTATTTCTCATTAGTGAATGGCGTCAGCAAGCAAATGTGATAATTTTGTTTAATTTTGTTTACGTCTGTAAGAAAAACACTTTCATATAGTTGTTTATGACCTTCCATGTGAATTAAGTACAGGTG